ATGTCCTTTTTAGAGCATTTCCGCTTTTAAGGTTGGTCATCTTTCTCATATTCATTGTTTTTGTCTGTTGTGTAACATGGCACTAAGTAATGTTAGAGCTATATGAGGTCTGCTTGTATACAATCAAGAAAACCTGATATTCTTCATGTTATCTTCGGAGGCAGGGTGACCCTGTCGTATGAGGGACCGCAATTATGTACGACGTTCCGTCCCTTGGCCCCACAAGAAACCTTGTGGGCTCAAATCCCGTTTCGCCCCAGTTATATTTTTTGGTTTGTCAGCACCATACGCGTGCTCGTGGATTTCACCAAAGTGGTAAACGTCTGAGACCTGCATCAATTCAAGTATATCGGTATATGGTCTCTGCTTCAAGCTTTCCTTTCACGTTAAGCTGACCATTTTCCCGAGGCAAGAGAGTTAACTGACTTTAAAAGTCCAGTTTCCACCCTCGCCGAACTAGGCCGGAATACCTGGGGTCGATCCTAGCGCCACCAGTGGCTATTACGAGTTATGTCCCTTCTATGCCTCTCCTATGGACCAATCAGATTCCACCTCTCGTATCACTTGCATTTGCTTCAAACAAAATGGCGGCGCCCAGCCAAGACGATCTGATCGATAATCACGATCTATATTGTGATAAAACGGTCTTAACATCGCAAAATGCATTAAATCATGTGAGCGCCTTGATTAAAAACATGAAAAGATTTGAAAAATATCTGTTGACAACGAGTTGGCGGCGCACATGTTTTGCAAATCCTGCAATCAGCCCAAATCTACATCAGTTTATGAACCTGATTTCGATTTCGTTGTGCGATTTTGATTGGACTCTGCATATACTCGTTAGTCCAGCCAAAATGTAACTCCATAATACCAGCCTAGTTTGGCAAGGGTGGAAACTGGACTTTTATAGTCCGTTAACTCTCTTGCCTCCGAAGATGTGAGCTGACAGGCTGCAATATAACTTGAATACTGTTCAAATCCCATTAAACCCAATGCATTCACTCTTGTTATCTTCCTATCAAGAGCTTCCACTGGATGTGGCAGGGTGTGTGCTACAATATATCATGCAGAGTTAAATCCCTTTTGTGAAGCCAGGATCCACTGATCATGGGCCTGAATTCCAAACTCTCCTTGAACATCTGTTCATGTTGCTTTTGTCAGACCTGTGTCCAACAAATAATCCGAACTCACTCACTCACTCTATTTTCCTAATCCCTTCAACTGCAAATGCATTTTCGCGTTTGAAGAAGGGCTAGTCAAAACGAGTTATCTCCCCTCAATAGAATCACTCACAAACATGAATATAGATTGTGTTATAGGCAGTACTGAATTCTTGGCCATTGAATTACTTTAATAACAAATAGATCTACCAGAAATACTGATGCTGTCTCTATTGTTAGGTAATTGGATTATGGGTGGGTTTTGGGTAATGAGGAGTGAAGGTTGTTTAACACTCAGTATTTACATTGGTATATATGGAAATGTTGGATAAAACACCATAACAGACTTTGATTTATGTTATGTAATTATTGATTTAAAATTTGATTGATTTGGAACATTTTTCAGAAATTATAAGAGAAGTATAAATTAGATGATGAATTTGTGGTTTGCAGGTGACAAAATGGAGAAAGATTTCCCTTAAACATTAATTCCAATAAATGTCTCTATTTTTGTCAACATTTAGTACAAAGGCAAATGATGCCAAAGTTATTTTTGTGTCCGTTTTTTGTTTGCTGGTGACCATCTTCCTGAGGAAAGAGCGTCCACTAGTCTATTTATCAAAGTTTCGTTTCCACTAGGCTTTGATTTAGGCTTGTGGATACGCTTGCCTTGAGATGTTGGGGGTGACAGAAAACTTAATTATTGTCTAGTGGTTAAAGTGTTTGCTTGTCATGCCAAATTCCCCGGGGTTTGATTCCCCACATGGTACAATGTGTGAAGCCCAGTTCAGGTGTCCACCATTGGCATGTTGCAAGAATATTCAAAGCGTGGTAAACCATACTCAATCACTCGATGCTGCACATTAAGCACTCCCATGTAACACTGCTCTTACTCACTGTCATACATTTGTTGCTCTGCAGGGCAATATAGGTTCCAGTGGTGTTATCCTTATTAAGGCCATCATTTTAAGTCGGTTCACAAATATGGGGGCCATGGGTTATCACCTTGACCAGATAACTTCACACCAAGGACCAGACAACAAAATCACATAGGGCTTATAGCACAATGCTAGGGACCAGAAAAAAAACCCCAGGCATGTAGATTTTACAGGTTATACCAGAGGCCATATAATAATCTATTATATGGTCTCTGGTTATACCACACGAGGAAACAGCCAGGCCAAACATACGGATTACCGTAATTCACCATCATAAGAGCCCTGGACGATTAGTGAGTTTGGTTTGCGCTGCTTTGAACAGTTTTCTAGTCATCTCACGGCATGTCAACTTAATGTGGGATATCACCTGGTGACACCAACAAGTATGGGCATGTCACTGACAAATATGGAAACATTATCAGGGCGAACCAGGAATTGAACCTATGACCAAAGGTTTCTGGTAGGGCTGGGACAGTTAACTCGGGTACTTGGGTTGGGTGGGTACTGAGTAGGACCCAGGTACCCACAGGACTATCTGGACCTCTGGCTGGTCATATGATATATTGTTTAATGGCAAAAATTATGCATGACCAGATCGTTTTATACGAGTATCTAAATAGATTTTGACAGGATTACAGTCAAACGTTTCCCAATCGGACATTTTGTACCTATCTCTTGATACCTACAGAGTGTAACCCAGGTAGGGTCGGGTAATGGGGGAGTGGGTAACTGGGTAGTAAATTTGGACTCGTCCCAGCCCTATGATGTACCCAAGGGTGCAACACTGCACGGTGATTTGCAGAGGCCTAGAGGAATGGGCCACCCAGGCCACCCGGACCACCCCAACTATTATGACAAGATAATCATATACTGACATCTATCAAATATCACTTTGTCATGTAGAAGTGGGGGGTAAGGGTGGGTCAGTCATCTAAGGCGCTGCAATTCACTGTGCAGAGTTGCGTCCCTTGGGCACACCAGAAACCTGTGATGGTGGGTTCAAAACCTGCTTCACCCTGATTATATTTCTAGGTTTTTCAGCACCATACCTGTGCTTGTGGGTTTCACCTAAGCGGTAAACATCTGAGACCTGCATCACTTCAGACTTTCTTCTTCCCCGGCCGCGTCATACCAAAAGACGTTAAAAGATGGTACTTGTTGTTACCCTGTCTGGCACTCGGCATCAAGGGGCTAAAACAAGGGCTGGTCGGCTCGGGAGTCAGTATACTGTGTCTGAATGGGGTATTCATGTTAAACTGCGGCATGGTATCTCAGTGAGCTAGCAATATAAATCGGCATCAGTCCGGACTAGTACAAGCAGCCACACAAACACACAGACGTGCATGCCCGTCGCTATATAAGTGCAATAATCTTGGACGCGACGTTAAGCCCCATTTCACCTCACCTCACCTCAGACTTTCCTCCCACAACAAGCTGACAAGCCGACATGCTGTGATATACCGGTCACTGGAATACTGTTAAACATGTTAAAAGCCGCATTAAACACAACTCACTCATGTAGAAGTATCAAATGTATGATAGTGCTAGGCATTGTCAAATTACAATACTTCCCCGTTGTGTATCCACTGCTATGTTCCATCATCACCCATTAATACATTTGGCTTCTAAGCAGTGTTGTTACTTGTAAGGCTTAAAAAAATAAAAGAATTGGTTCTCATGCAAAGATATAATGCAGGCGGGTGGGTTTTTTTTGTTGTTGCTTGTTCTAAAATAGTATGTAACCAAATAGTTGTGTACCAACAACCTGGGAAAGGGCCTCCCTACATAAACAAGCATACAAACTTCTATTGCCGCCATGACCATCACACGAGATACACAGTAAAGCAGTGCACATGTACAGGGAAGTAACTGTTTGCTTTGGATCACATTGTTCTGAAGTAATATGATTAATTTATTGTTTTGAAAATGGGAATAAAAACGAAACATGCGGCAAAATGTATGATGATGCGGGCAGTGGCTAAGAACCAAGATTATTATTTTTTTTAGCCTAACCAATGAATCAAGCCACTTCCTGGTTCCATTGAATGCTCGGATAACATCACAAGAACAGCAATACATGCATTTCTCACGCAACCTATGCTACAGCCTTGTGGACATCAACTCTACATGTTCCTTCATCAGCGGAGCTCAGTTGACTGCCTGGAGCGACAAGTATAAATGGCCCCATTTCATGGCTCGACTTAGTAGTCCTGCATCACAACTACACTGCATATCAGCTGTATGTATTCACTGGTGCGGAAGCGTAGTAGGGCCATGGTGAAATTGTTTTTTGTCTAAGTATCTCCTACGTAGGACTTAGTATCTTCTACGTAGGACTTACTATCTCCTATGTAGGACTTACTATCTCCTACATAGGAGATACTAAGTCCTATGTAGGAGATAGTTATTCTAGTCCATACTAAGTCCTACGTAGGAGATAGTAATTCTAGGCCATACGAAGTCCTACGGAGGTAGTAAGTCCTACGGAGGTAGTAAGTCCTACGTAGGAGATACTAAGTCCTACGTAGGAGATAGTGATTCTAGGCCATACTAAGTCCTACGTAGGAGATAGTAAGTCCTAAGAATGAGATAGTAAGTCCTACATAGGAGATACTAAGCCCTATGTAGAAGATACTAAGTCCTACGTAGAAGATACTAAGTCCTAATTAGGGGATGCTAAGTCCTACGTAGAAGATACTATGTCCTACGTAGGAGATAATAAGTCCTACGTAGGAGATACTTAGACCAAAAAACATTTTCACCGTGGCCCTACTACACTTCTGGAGATGGAGAAATGTAGCGTACACAAGCCTGAAGCCTGACTCATTATGTGAGATCACAGGACAAAAAACACCAAACAGCCTCTGATGTCCACAAACATGATTAAGATGTAACACAACAATATATTTCATCTCCATTTCATGAAGAGATTTATTTTCAGTTACATAACTATTTAATACAATTTAAATATCACATCAAACTACACAAATCATGAACTTGTGCAAAATGTGATGTGATGAAAACTTTCTGCCCTTTCAACAGATACAACATGGCTGAGGTTCTATGGTCATTATTTAAAAATAGTTTCTCTGTACTTACAGTCCATGTGTCTCACATTCAGACACTCTTGTTACCAAAGTTAAAACCGTTACAATGCCATTCTTTTTCTGTTTATTGGAAACAGATTTCTTGGCCTCAGTCTGGAGATGAAAGATAGAATTCTACATAACTACAATCTCCACCAAACGTTTCCTATTTCAATAAAGGTGCAATCGGCTGTCTCTTCTTGGAAAACAAAGGGAGTTAATTTGGCAAAGTCTGTGCATGATGGACAAGGGACAGAACACTCAGATTTATTAGGCATGGAATCTGCTTCAACTGATTGATGTGGAGAATTATAGATAGATGTCAAATTTAGCATGTAATTAGTGTTGTTGATTTTTTATAATACTTTGAGTAAACACATGATATTTTTCAGAAGAAAAGTGTAAATTTTGAAAAAATTATTTAAAATAATGGCACATGTATATATGGTGAGTGGATCAGATATCTGTCTAATGTTGAGATATTCCAGAGCTCATTATAGAAAGGAATGGTGAAAACAACATGGACATATCACTGCTGTGAGTTTTTGGCTATTTCTTGTTCAATCTCTTGCATGCTTTGTAAGACTGATGATAAATGGTCTTCATCCATTTCAAAACGAACAACATCACCAGTCTGCAAAGATAAAGAGATAAACTCAGAAGATAATAACCCAGTTAAGATTAAAAACAGCAAGAAATTTGAAACAAAACTTACAAATCTACGATCCTTAAAAATAGAATAACATAACATAACATAAGAACTCCCACAGGTAACAGTGAGTGAGTATGATCTTACGTCGCTTTTAGCAATAATCTAGCAATATCACGGCGGGAGACACCAGAAATGGGCTTCACATAATGAACCCAAGTCGTGAATCGAACCCGGGGCTTTCGGCGTGACGAGCAAATGCTTTAGCAACGAGGTTACCCAAACGCCCTACAGGTAACAGACAAGAACAATCCAGGCTAAGGCATGCCAAAACACATGATAATCTGTGATAACCATGGCATGCAGACCAGAATTATGTCCTTGTTTTAAACAAAACAAATATGTATATGACTAATGACTATGTGAACTTTAAAATTTCACCAAAACTCTACTATCTGTCCATAAGAAACATCATATCAAGTACTGCAAGACAAATCATATCTAGTATTGTTTTCAAATACCGTATTCGACGTAATAAGCGCCCAGGGCGCTCTCAAAATTAGAAATAGGGGGCTCTTACTAGAATATCATTTTGGTGAAAGATCGTAAATTTCGTGGTTTATTCTGAAATGATACTAAAGAAAAGTCTGTGGGTATTACACACGACAGATATATTTTCCAGAATTTAATTGCCCGTAATAAAGGGTGCATATGAAACACGAGTGTGTATTATACACGAATAAATAAGTCTTGTGTACATTGATCAATCGGAAGGGTGCTTATTGGGATTGTTCACCAGCCAATATATTAGCAAATATCGCCATGGGCGCTTATTACGTCGAATACGGTAATAATAATGTTGAATGGAAGTACTGTAGTAAGAAAAGTGTCACAAATTCAACTGAGACATCTATACCTTCAAAACCCACCCAGTTCTTGCAAAATAATCTACTTTCTTGACACAATAGCCCTACTTTTTTTTAAAAAGATAATAGCTTTTACATAATTTCTAAATAAACCTTACTTTTTCAATATTCTGTCCATCACTGACGTGCAATTCCATAATGGCTGATGGAGTGTTGATCTCATCTATGTGACGAGCCTGGGATTTCAAGTCAATTCTCCATGACACTTTCTGAAGGGAATTACCCCACGTTGTATGAGCCACAATACTGTCATGTACTTTTGTCTTGTTAGTTTTCCAGAACTTCCTGAACACATTAGCTTGGGTTTCTGATAGTGCTCCTTCCTTTCGTTTCATCTGTGCAGTGATAAAAGCTTCAAGCTGGGTCATATCCATGTCTGCCGACACCATACTCTGAAATGATATCATGTGTGTTCTATGAACATGGTTCATTTAAAGTTATGGAAGACTTTGTATAATTGTTGTCAAATATGATGGACAAGGCCATACATTTTTTTATTTTTCCTTTAACACCGCTGCCACCCCTACTGAAAATCAGCCGGTCCAGAAATAAATTAAACATAAAAATATTTATTTATCTCTCGCTAGTAACATAGACCCTTTTATACAATGAAACATGTATATAAATTCCAAGTCTACATCACTATAGATGATTCAAGAGGCCAGCTGCAGTTTCAACTCCACGGCAGAATGGCTTTCATATAGATAAATAAACAAATGAATAACTGACATTGATATTTATTTTTATTTCAACCGATCTTGTGTGGAAAAGTTGGAATAAATCTGTACAACATCAAATAAAAAAAATGTGGCCAAACTAACTTTATATATTTCTATCACTTGCAAGTATTGGACTTATGACATACGGCACAAAATGGGCTGATACATCAAAATTCAACAGAATATCTATGAGTCTAACTCTGTGACCTAAGATGATCTTTTTGCCATTTGTTTGTATGGTCTGTAGGCTAAAAAAACAAAATGTTTCTTGGGCATCAGTGCATCACCTTAAATTCCGCACGTCGGTCATTAACATTGCCAACAAAATTAATATTTTTCAAATTTCCCAGGGCATAAAAAACAGACTGTTAACTTGACCACTTACATTTTATTATCATATGTTAGCCAGATAAAACAAGAGATGTAGTACAATACACACACGTGTGAGAGCAGAAAGTGTTCCTCACTCACAACTTTAAAAAAAGGGCCTGAGAAACATATGTTTTTTATACAGACTGACCTCAATTCTCCAAAGAAAACAACCTTTGGTTAATGCTTCCAGAAAACATCTAAAGTAATTTGACTCATTTTAACCTAACCTCTACATTTTGTGTCAAAATCATGCAAGAACAAAATCATGCAAGAACAAAGTCTAATTCTTATTTACATAAATACATCTGATAACATTCAGAGCTGGTGAACCAATGTCATACCTTATAATTTAGACCATCTTCCCGAGGCAAGGGAGTTAACTGACTGTAAAATCCAATTTCCATCCTTGCCAAACTATGCCTGAATTTCTGGGCACGATCGTAGCGCCACTTGTGGCTATTACGAGTTATGTCCCTTCTATGCCCCTCCTATTGACAATTAGATTTCACCTCTCATATCACTTGCATTGGCTTCAAACAAAATGGAGGCGCCCGGTCAAGACGATCTGATCGATGAATCTGATATGTATTGTAATTAGACGGGTCTGACCTCGCAAAGTGCATCAAACCACGTGAGCACCTTGATTAAAAACATGAAAAGATATAAAAAATATTTGTCGATGCCCAGTTGACAGTACACATCATTTGCAAATCGTGCAGTCAATCTAAATCTGCACGTTGAAATCCATATTGTTTAAGAACCGGATGTTGATTTCGTTACACGATTTTGATTGGACTATGCATAGACTCATTAGCCTAGCCCAAATATAACTCCATAATTGCAGCCCAGTTCGGCAAGGGTGGAAACTGGACTTTTACAGTCAGTAAACTCTCTTGCCTTGGGAAGATGCATTTAGACATATCCAGACATTCAATACAACAGGTACAACATACAAAAATAAGGAAATAAGTTTCTTTCTTTGTAAATAACATAGCATGTTCTATTCTAAAATGTAGATGCTTCAAAGGCATAAAACAATATGAAGCTAACAATGTAAATAAGTTTTGATCTTGTTGCAACAAACATACAAAAAGACACTTTTGCTCCATCAGAAAGGGGTGCTAACCCTAAGTATCATGAAAGGGCATTTGAAAGGGTATCTAAATTTTATGGTCTAAGGTTCCTTGTAACCAATACCCTAACTGAGCTAATCCTAACGATCATAGCGACATGCAAGATCAGCGAGGAGTCAGCTTGATAATGGCTGCCCTGGCTGTGCCCATTAAACAGCAGTCATGCCAAGCATTTTAATCTTACAATATTCACAGATATTTTTGCAATATTTTTGCACATCATGTTCACACTCCGTCGCAGTGGTGACTCAGCATAACGCCACTGCCACAGGCTAATTTGCATATCACGTGACCGGACTTTTCTCTTGTTTGTAAACAAACGCGCTTTTTCAGAAATCAGTATAGAATGGACTAATGCAAGTATTTGGGGGCGCTTTACATATTGTTTTGCATAACTATATAGATATGCTACTACAACTGCGACAGTGAGTTGCATGACAATATATATTTATGCATCAAAGTGACCGTGTCGCTAGCTCTCCGTTGGGCTTCGATGACAGCACGTGGAGCCGTACAACCAATGTAAACATAGGATAACTACACAAAAACAAGTAGATTTTTACGTATTTGCATACTTTCTAAATGAAAGTTAACCATTCTTTGACATTTGTTTATGAAAATGTGTAGACTTGTCAAACATGAAACGGATGAAAAGCATATACAATATCTTGAATGGACTGTGAAAGATGTGACGAATCGTCACATGGCGCTGGCCTGTGGCAGAGGTACTATGCTAGCTGGCTGCCGGCCGCATGGAACTCTGGGTAGGAGAGTGCATCATGTTGACACATAAAGTGAAAATTGGGCAGTAAGTGCACACATTGACAACTTTCCCCTTTTAAAGTTAGAAAGTAAGAAATCCCCAAATATCAAAAGATATTGTCACGATATTGTAACCATTGATGTTGGTACATTATTACAACTGTATGTATGTACATGAGATCAAACACTTCCTAGAAAAGGGGGTGTTTCCCCATGGATGAGAAATGTTGAAGGCATCATCGTATTTTATAAAGTAAGCTACCTTTAACAAAGAAGAACATCTCGAGAGTAATTGACTAAACTGGTCTTCTGGGAGATCAGGATATATTTCATCCTTTAGGAAACTGTCAGTTATATCTTTATCTCCGTAATAATTTCGCCGTGCTATGCCGTTCAGCAATGCAAGGGTACTTTTCGGGTCGTCCGCCATCTTTCTGTCATGTGACCAGTTTTTATATGGATTTGAGAACAAACGAAATATGTCCCAATATATAATTTGTATTTAGAAATAAAACATATTTCCTAAAAACGTTGTAAATTGGACACCACTATTTTAATATGCCTGTGTAAATCTTTTAGTCCCATTTTTAGCGTGATTTTGTGTCTGTATTATTATTAATTTTCACTACAAAATAACCAATCCAAAATCTAGATTGCTCAAAATGGCGGCCTCCATAGTAGGAGTGCGAAATGTGAATCCAACCCTTGATGGGGTTTCTGCTGAGCAAGAACAAGATGCTAACTCCGCTTTAACAGAGTTGGACAAAGGTACTAAACTGCCAATAAAAATATGAATTATCGAGCTGATCAATGAAAATAGGCATGTAGCTTTCGGCCTTTTTCAACGATCGAAAAGGGAACACTTTTACTTGGTTCAGAATTCGATCACCTAAATGTATTTGAACAGTGATAATTAAACTACCGTCTTCTAACTATATGATCAAAGAGAACTATTTGATCGACAACAATGGAGATTATAATTGGTGTATCTAAATCCTTCACGATGATTGGTATGTGCACAGGACCATGTAACTATAATAATTAATGACAAAATCGTAGACGATTAATATTATTGTTATTATTATTATCAGTTAAATGGTCCTGTGTTGTAAGTAATTTCGTACAGAAGAAATCTCATACATGAAAACATCTAGTACACGATATAAAGATCTAGTACACGATATAAAAAAGTAATTTCGTACACAATAAAATCTTAAAATACAAATATTTTTTAATTCCAAATGATCAAAGTATATATTTCCATTAAAAATTGCCTTCTATAAACTGTGTGCAAAATTTTGTTTCTTGTACAAGATTACAGTAAACTACGCTTATAACGAACTGGCGGATATATCAAATTAGTGTTTGAGTATGTTATAACCATAGTTTACTGTACATACAAAACTCTGTATGATATTACTGGAATTTCCTTGTATGAGGACGTTTTGTGTATGAGAATACCGCAACCCACTGTGATACATAGGATGATATATATCATTGAAACTTAGATAAATTGATATAGTAATATACATTAACGTACCTTGATCATGTTGATCTGGTACAAAAATATGTAAACAAAGCAAAGTTTTCATGCAATTAGGCAGAACAGTCGCGAATGTTTAGTCACATGATTTTCTTTTTCTTTTCAGGTTTGCGATCAAATCGCATAGGATTACAGTGTGAGGCAGTTGTGAAATACCCTCGATTGTTTGAAAAATATCCATTTCCTATTCTCATAAATTCAGCTTTGCTGAAGTTAGCTGATGTTTTCAGAGAAGGGTGAGTAAACCAAAGAAATCATAATCAGTCAAAGTGTATATTCTTATATTCCTACACAAGATAGGCCAACTAACGAAAATAAGAAAACTACCTGTCCATAGTATCCTTTTAACACTGATAGATTTCTTTTTCCATGTCATCATGATACAAGTAAAAGGTTACCATGGTTACCTTGTCTGTGTATCAGATCCTTCCAGATCCTGTGTGTCATTGGACCCATCCTCCTGAGGCAAGAGCATCCATGAGCTTTTTTATCTTGTTTCTACCCTTGCCACATCAAGCCCACTTTCCTGTGCTAAATATGATTGGACTATCGCATGTATAGATAGTCCAGTCAGAGAACGTTTCACAAAATCAACTTCCACGACTGGTATACTTTCCTATGAAAGTGATTTACCACTGCCTGTCTTTTATCCCCGCCAACAATTGCCTATGTTTTGGTGTCAGGAATGAAATTGTGAATGTTTTTGTCATCTGATCGACTATGTTGTTGCCTATTGTAGTCGCCATCTTTGTGAAGGTATATGAGATAAGAACAGCGATCTGATTGGATATCGCGTTTTCATAATAAGGGGCAGAACTCATGATCTACACAAAGTGGCGCAAGGGCCGAGCCAAGAAAAGTGGCCTTGATGTGGCAAGGGTAGAAATTAGGCCCTGGGAAAATGCATTGAACCGAATCGTGTCATAATCGAGACCACCTCCGTGGTCTAGTGGTAGAGCGTCTGCCCGGAGAGCGGAAGGTCCGGGGTTCGATCCCCGGCCGCGTCATACCAAAAGATGTTAAAAGATCGTACTTGTTGTTACCCTGTCTGGTGCTCGGCATTAAGGGGCTAAAACAAGGACTGGTCGGCTCAGAGTCGGTATACTGTGTCTGACTGGGGTATTCATGTTAAACTGCGGCATGGTATCTCAGTGAGCTAGCACTATAAATCGGCATCAGTCCGGTCAAGTACAAGCAGCCACACACACATACACATGTACATGCACGTCGCTATATAAGTGCAATAATCTTGGACGCGACGTTAAACCCCATTTCACCTCACCTCACCTCTTCTCACAAGAAGGTTAAAGTGTTTGCTTGTCATGCCGAAGACCCGGGTTTGATTCTCCACATGGGTACAATGTGTGAAGCCCATTTCTGGTGTCCCCTGCCGTGATATTGCTGGAATATTGCTATAAGCGGCATAAAACCACACTCACTCACTCACTCACTCACTCACTCATTCTTACAAGATAATATGGATAAGTTCTGATGGTCACTGATGGATGTTTTCATGTCTGTTTCAGTAATAATTTTATCCGTTTGTGTATCCTCAAAGTGACTCAACAGAGCGGCAAACACCTGGACAAGATTCTCAATGTCGATGAATTTGTACGAAGAATATTTTCAGTTATCCACAGCAATGACCCAGTGGCAAGAGCAATCACTTTGAGGTAATTGTTTTAAATTTCAAGGCCCTTGTGTTGAGTGTAGTGTATTATCTATCTGTGCAGATTTGCCTCCCTCACTGTGTCAGGATCTGCTGATCTGCCAGATTTGTCTCAATTGTGATCCTTAGCACAATACCTGTGCTTGTGGGTTTGAAATAATTGTGGTTAATGTCTTCAACTTTCCTAGGTGTAGGTAAAAGTGAAATAAGGGGTAGCTCCGTGGTTGAAGTGTATCTTATCACACTAGAGATCTAGTCATTTTGAACAAGTGGGGATGTAAAATAACTAGGTTGTGAGTTAAATAAACATACTGTTACTTGTCCCGGACAAACAGACAAGTGGCTATGTCTATCAAAGGTGTTGACCCCAATTCTGGTGTCCCCATTGGGATATTTCTGAAATATCCCAATTCTGGTGTCCCCATTGGGATATTTCTGAAATATTGCTAAAAGTGGCATAAAACCCCACACTAAAGTGAAACCCTACACACTCACTCACAAAAGTGAAATCCTACACACTCACTCACTAATGTGAAACCCTAAACACTCACTAATGTGGAACCCTACACACTCACTACAGTGAAACCCTACACACTCACTCACTAAAGTGAAACCTTACACACTCACTTAAGTGAAACCCTACACACTCACTCACTAAAGTGAAACCCTACACACTCACTCACAAAAGGGAAACCCTACACACTCACTAAAGTGAAACCCGACACACTCACTAAAGTAAAATCCTACACACTCACTAAAGTAAAACCCCACACACTCACTCACTAAAGTGAAACCCCACACACTCACTCACTAAAGTGAAATCCTACACACTCACTCACAAAAGTGAAACCCTACACACTCACTAATGTGGAACCCTACACACACACTCACTAAAGTAAAACCCTACACACTCACTCACTAAAGTAAAACCCTACACACTCACTAATGTGGAACCCTACACACACACTCACTAAAGTAAAACCCTACACACTCACTCACTAAAGTAAAACCCTACACACTCACTCACTAATGTGAAACCCTACACACTCACTCACTAAAGTGAAACCCTACACACTCACTAAAGTAAAACCCCACAAACTCACTGACTAAAGTGAAACCCCACATACTCACTCACTAAAGTGAAACCCTACACACTCACTCACAAAAGTGAAACCCTACACACTCACAAAAGTGAAACCCCACACACTCACTCACTAAAGTGAAACCCGACACACTCACTAAAGTAAAATCTTACACACTCACTAAAGTAAAACCCTACACACTCACTCACTAAAGTAAAACCCCACACACTCACTCACTAAAGTAAAACCCCACACACTCACTCACTAAAGTGAAACCCTACACACTCACTCACAAAAGTGAAACCCTACACACTCACTAATGTGGAACCCTACACACACACTCACTAAAGTGAAACCCTACACACTCACTCACCAAAGTGAAACCATACAAACTCACTGAAGTGGAACCCGACACACTCACTAATGTGAAACCCTACACACTCACGAAAGTGAAACCCGACACACTCACTAATGTGAAACCCAACAAACTCACTGACTACAGTTAAACCCTACAAACTCACTGAAGTGGAACCCGACACACTCACTAATGTGAAACCCTACACACTCACTCACTAAAGTAAAACCCCACACACTCACTCACTAAAGTGAAACCCCACACACTCACTCACTAAAGTGAAACCCTACACACTCACTCACAAAAGTGAAACCCTACACACTCACCAATGTGGAACCCTACACACACACTCACTAAAGTGAAACCCTACAAACTCACTGAAGTGGAACCCGACACACTCACTAAAGTGAAACCCTACACACTCACTGAAGTGGAACCCGACACACTCACTAAAGTGAAACCCGACACACTCACTAAAGTGAAACCCTACACACTCACTAAAGTAAAACCCGACACACTCGTGAATAGGTTGAATAGGTATTCAGCGACCCATCCTTGCTGTAAAAGGCGACTGTGCTTGTTGCGACTAATGGGATCGGGTGGTCAGGCTCGCTGACTTGGTTGACGGATGTCATCGATCCTAATTGTGTGGATCAATGCTCATGATATTAATCACTGGATTGTCTGGTCCAGACTCGATTATTTACAGACCGCCATCATAAAGCTGGAATATTGCTGAGTGCAGCGTTAACCAAACAGCAAACCAAAACCCTACACCCTCACTATA